ATTTCATTTCATTATTTCATTGCAATGAAGAGTTTCGAACGAACGATTTAATACTGATAATAAAATTATCATGTTTTCAGCCGATCGAACGTCGTCCATTCGAATCGGCCCCATTAATAATACCAAAAACATTGCAAAAGCAATTACCGTATCGGCTGAAACCAAAGCAGAATTTAGTGAGTAATGATAAAAAAAGCAAGAAAGAGGGTGACACTCTGGTCAGTAAGCATACTGTTGTGATGTTGGAACCGCACGAAAGCAAGGTAGATCTATATATCTTAACATTGTTATTTTGTTATTACGATCGTTACTGTCTTAGCAGTTTTATGGCTATTGTTGTTATAAGTCAAATTGTAATATTTATGCGTATGAGCAAGTTGCTCATGTAGTGTATGGCGACGACAAGTGAATAAATGAATGTTTTTCAATAGGTGAATCGTCTGATGAAAGTATTGGACGTCGTGAACAAGGACAGAATTAAAACGAATCGAAAAGTCGCTCACGAACGTCACAAGAAGCATAAATTGGTCAGTTGTTGTTCATTATTGTTGTTACTTTTCTGCTTGTTAATAATATCGCTAGCAGCAGAAATGAATTAATAAAGTGTAAATTGAATTAAGGAAGTACGAAATGCAGAAATGATGCGTGAAATCGGAATAAAAAAATCGAAAAAAGCGAATTGTCGTTTGATGTCAAAAAGAGAACAGTCGAAAGTTCGTAAAGCAATCGACTCAACTTCGAAATAATTCATCAATTGAAACCGTTTTTGTGATTTAGTTATTACTATTGTGATCGCTGTTGTCACTTTGTTATGCTGCTGTTATTGTTGTTATCATATTTCATTGACGCTGTCAAATTGCCTTCGAAATTTTTGTTCTGAATATGATGAGAATTTTTGTTTTATTGCTGAAATGCTCAATATATTGATGGTGAGATCGATGTGAACATGGCTAATAGATGAAGGATTTAGATACTTTATTTATCCACTTATACTGTTCATAATAGATTTGTTATTGTTGTTATGCGTGTTGTTGATATTGTTATTTATTTTGTTGATTGTTTTTGTTGTGGTTTATGTTATGTTTTAAAATGCAATAAAAATAAGATCACGGCTCTCGGTGTTAGTCTAAAGAACATTACTGTTCTAGTCACTGTCGGTTGTTTTTAATCAGCTAACAGTAGACGTTTGATGACTCGATCAATCGAAGGATATTGTTTCGGCCTATTTTATGTCCTGCCTTGGAATTGATTCACTGGAGGAGGTGGTAGATACTAGCCCATAGTAACTCTACGAACGTTCAGTGGAAGATCGGGATTAGAATTTT